GCCTACTAGTCTTTTGATATTGCAGTAAGAATACCCTGATTTCACAGTCCACAGAAACAGTTAGTCAACTAAAAAAGGGTTGCCAGGGTCCGCTCTCTGGACTAACTTCAGTGAACAAATCCACAATGTTCCTGACACGGGAGGGGGCAGTGTGCAGGCAGGGCGAGGTGGTTAAATAACAAGATTGCTTGCTTACTTGGCAATGTGCAGTCTGCTTATAAGAAAATAAGGCACACACATGAATGCAGGGAGAACACTGACTGCCAAGAAAAGACAATACATACCTAAAAATCAGAGGTTCAAAACCCTGTGATCTACTTCCTCAAGCTGTAATTTGAGAAAGTTCCTTCAGTGTAACACAGAGATGTTATATCTCTTCCTCTTTATTATGAGCTGAATTTAGTACCAAAGCAAAGAATAATCAGAAGAGTATGTCTGTGTAGAAAATCACAAAATAACAGTAATGAAGCTCATCCCTTTAGAATGTAAGAAATGACAGGCTAATCTCACAGTCAAATGCTTTGCACCAAGTGCAGCTTTTCATGTATCTTTGGATTTGACCAAGTAGCAAACACTTAATCAGTTTATCATTAGCTATGAATGGCTATGTTCAGAAAAAAGGCAAAAATAATATTTAGGAATAAACAAACCTTAGCTCACAACATACTGTATTCAGAAGTTGCCAAATGTGTCTTTTCACTTGGACTGAGTCCTAGTAGATCACCTACAAACATTGCTTATTTGGCAAAGTCCAAGAACAGGGTAATAGATACATGTTCAAGGAAGAATTAATCTTGATCTTGGTAAAACTCTGAAATTTATGACCATTTATTACAAGCTCCTTCCTGAGTATGGAACCCTTAAAACAGAGTAAGGTTTACAAAAAGGTATGTAAGTCCTCTTTCCTGTCTTAATATGATCAAAAACACAGTGAATGCTACTGCCTAGTGCCATCCAGTGGAAAGCCAGGCACATGAAAACATTGTATGTCTTCATCTCCCTTATTCACTGGTCCTCACACTATGTGACTTCTGCCTCTTCTTATGGTCAAAATAATCACAAAAGGTAAAAGTTTTGAATTGATTCAGAATACTGAAGCAGCCACTAGAGTACAACTAAGGCCACTAAGGAAAGACGACTTCCAGAACTGCTTCAGAAAATGGCAAGAACATTGGGATAAATGTGTCTGAGGCAAGGGGGAAATAATTGCAGTGTCTTTTGCTATAATGCAAATTTAAAACAAAATATTAAAGTTTTACCCTATTTTTTCAATCATGCCACATAAGTAGAATCAAAACATAGTCCAATATTTGGCACTTCCAAAGTTAGACTGAATTTCACAAAAAAGCTACAAGCAATATTACAGTATCAAATAGGCCATATAATTTTTATAAAGTTAATGAGCTCAAAGCAAGTTCAAAGATATCCTGGGTGATAATAAAAGAGTATATTTTTGCCTATGCTAGCACCTATAGACTGTGGCCAACATGATCGTAGGTGCAGAGAAGATTTTTTAAAAACCAAAATGGTTGCTCACGCTTAATTACATCTTTAATGTCACAATGTAATATAAAGCAGAATGTGCTGCTGCCAAGTAATTGCTAATCAAACTCACAGCATATTCTATGAGTTTTTACACAATTTATAAAATACAGAAATTTCTATTAAAAAATACCAAAATATAAAATATTATCATTAAATAAAGATCATAAACCCAAGAAAATAAAATTCAAATTTAGCTTGGATTCAAAACTTTTCACAAGAGCACCCCAGAACCATTTTCCGTGTTCTTCTATTAGAATTCTGCTCCAGCTAAACTGGCCCATTTCAACACTGTATGCACAGTCCCTCCTTCCAACATTTGTTCCAGCCATCCATTCTCCCTGAAGCACCCTCTGATATATCCTTCCCCTTTTCTGGATTGTAAATTTCTGCCCAATCCTCATCCAACTTCTACATCCTTGACAGTACATGCCATTTATTCCCTTACACATAGAAAGAGACTTCAATAGCTGTTTACTGATTCGAAGAATCATTTCATTAACTTCAGGAGATTTTCAGCTGTTTAAGCATACAAATTTTGCCAATTCATAAAACACCTATTTCTTGAGCACCTACTATGTACAAGACACAATGCCAGGGAAAGTGAAGAGTACCTAGATCGAATTAACATAAGATTTGCTTTCAAAGAGCTTAGAATCTGGTCATGAAAATAAGATCAAAACCCAAATAACTGTAATTAATACAAGCTGGACAATTACATATAAACATTCTGCTATAGGTTATCCTAGAATGGGGTGTGATTCCTTAGCAGTATGTAGGAAAACAGAGAAAAACTCCCGAAGAAAGTGCAAGTTGACTTGAATAGAAGGGAGAAGACATTATTTCCTTCACATGCATTAACAAAGGCAAGGATCAGACAGATCATAAGACATGAATGGATGAAGCAAACAGACAGTGATGCATTAGAATATGTGTATGATGCACCAAAAATGGAATAAGTGCAAAACTACTTGATATTAATGAATTAAAGGAGATTAAATATGAGAAATTCGAAGCTCATTACACACTGATGCCACAATATTAGGCAGTCTGTTAAGTGTCCAAAAGACATGGGAAGATTTCATAGGGTAATTATGATAGCCAAAAATAGTCCAATTATTATAATTTTTATGCTGTCAATTTACAGCTGCACAGTATTCAACACAGTAAAGTCTAGTACTGACATAAAGAACTCAAGTAACAGTGTGATATATTCTTCTGTAGGTTATAAATCTCGCCCTACGCTCTGCATCTTCATGATGGCCTAATAAATGATTTTCCTATAAAATCTAATATCAGGGCAAGATCTTGAAGTATTCTTCTGGAGCTTCTAAGTAGAAAACTTTCTGGTAAAATTTAGGTTGACTGTACTAAATTATAATCTGTAAACTGACAAACGTTGTGTGTGTGCACAAAACAGATACACAGTATAGATGGACTCAGCCAGAATTCACCAGGTCATTACATTATCAACTAACTGATGACTGGGAAAGTCATGGGCAAAACAGCAACACACTCCAATAGTATATTCTTACAAGTATAAAGAAATAAGCATGCCACCTATTTCAGAAAATTATTACACTGGGATTTCTTCGTGTAGAGAAAAAAAAAAAAAACCTAATTCTTTACTATTTAGTGTGCTAGATAAACCCACGCAGTTTGCTCTGGTTCAGGTATCATGTTCCTAGGCTTACAAACCTGCCATGCTCTTTCACTTTTACAAGTGAAAGCAGGCAGAATTACTTGTAGAGGTCTCTTTGTTGCTTGTGGAGATTTAACTGCCACTGGAAAACAAGTGTTGAATAAGAAAGAAGGGAAGCGAGCTCAGCAGTCCAAGCAGGTTTGTTGCTAAACCTGAGAGGGGCCTCTCTGTGCAAGCAGAACTGAGAAGGTGTATCTTACAAACTGAGAAGCATTTTTATAGCACATTTTGGCGAGCTTTTGAGGGGTGTGCTGGGGAGATGGGGGGCTTGTGACTTGCTGGCATGTCCTCTGTGACTTGCTATGTCCTCTGGGGACTGCTCATGACCTAAGTAAAATGAAACTATGTTTCTCTAAGATCTTGGGTGGGCTCATTCCATCTGGCAGTGTCCCTATCAAGACTCTATCAAATGGGATCATAACAATTGAATTAAGAAATTGCCAGTTAATTTCAAAGACCCACCCCCCCCAAAAAATAAGTCCATGGTTTTAAGATGATTTGATATATTTAGAAACCTCCCGTTAACAGAAATGAAGGTACACAGACTGGCCTCATTTTATCTTTGGATTAACTGTTTTGAACTAAATTTCAGTTTATAAATCACAGTTGGCTTGCCAACTTCTTGCTATTACCTACTGATGGTGGCAAATGGAAATACACCTCACAGTGGATTTCTCAAGAGTACTGAAAGAATGAAAATTCTTATTGAGGTTCTAAATTACTGTGTAGGTATAATGCAGTGAGGCTTACTATAGATCAGCTTACTATAACATCAGTATCTATAAGCCCTAAGGAGTAAAAGACTGTACCTAGGAAAACATATATGGAGGGAGAGATGGGTTACTGATCAGGGGGAGGAAAGAAAACAGACTATAAAGACATTTCCACACATCCTAGATTTCCCTTTTCTCACACTGGCAGTCTCTGCTGGGCTATCAGGTCCCAGTGTGGCTCCAGTCCCAGCCTACAAGACTTCTTCAGGGCAAGTACAACATAAATTCCAACACGAAGCCACCTTCAAATATATCAATACATATTGTTCGCTATCTTTGTGATATTTTAAAAAGCAATTACAGCATCTGTTTTTATCTAGGAGGAAGGCATTTTCTATTTCAACTATTAGATAATGTTAGATATTAGAAGATTCTGTTTTGCCTTCTACAAAGCTGAAATTTTATTTTTCCCTCATCTTTTCTCAAAAGATTCTGTAAGTTTCCTTTACTTTAGCATAGTTACAAGGGAATGTGTTGTAAAGGTTATTGGAAGTTGACAGATGGGCTTATTTTGAAATAAAATGAAGCCTGTAGCATTACTGAAAGGAAATTACAAAATTCAGAATTCAACCAGACAGAATGATCTTAAGCTAGTTTCCTTTTTTTTCCCCCCATGGAGAACAAACAGTAGGAGGTTGAAGCAAGGCCACTACATCTTTGAATTCTTTCACTCTGGCTGATTTGTATGGCATTCACAAACATTTTCTTAATACAATGTGCACTCCCAAAGTCCAGGCCTCTATGTATTTATTGTCAAATATCCAAATGTCTTTCACTGTTAGCACTATAACACAATTCCCAATTCCTACAATTTACGAAAGAGACATTTATAAACACTTGAACGTCTATTAAAAGTCTCCAAATAAAATGAGAAATGTACATTTCAGAAACTACACATTATAGATATGTTAACAGACTACTCATATACTGCTGTATCACTGCTGATAGCTCCCCCCAATGCTCCAATGAGGAGTTCCACCTACCTTATTGTGCTCATACTTGTATGGGATCTTGAGTGTGTCCATGGCTCTGATCATGGCCTGCATGGCCGTGAAGATGTTCTGATATACCAGTTTGGTGAAGCCCCTTTTGTCTTCATCAGAATATCCTGACCCATGGATGATTCTCATCTGCTTGATAAATGTACTCTTGCCACTCTCTCCTGTCCCTGAAATACAGATAACAGCAGCACATTAAACTACAACTCCTTCATGTTACACTACCCCAACACTAGACACAGTGGCTTGGATTTGATGTCCCCAAAAGGCCCCTAGAGAGGAGAATCACTACAAGTGGAAATGCTACCTATGGGGCTCACTTAGCAAAATTAGCCTACAGCCCATTTCAAAGGCAGATAAGTTCAAAAATTAAAAAGACCACAAACACACTAAAACACTGTGACCTCTTTAGAAGCCACTCAGCATGGAATTTTGACAGGAATTTTTAATCACGTATAAAAAAGTGACAACAGCATTTTTTGAATGTAATAAAAACATGATAAAACTCTTCCTTAGAGGATATTTGAATTACTTCCAGGACACTGGGTTTAGTCAGGATATAGTTCTAGAAATGACAATACACTTACACAAATGTTATTCAAAGAGGTAAGAAGAAAAGGCCTCAAAATTTCTATATATTTTCTCTAATTCTGGAAAGGTATCATAGGGAAAGCACATTACCCTGGTGAGACAGGAACAAGAGTCGTTCTCTATGCAGCAAGAATCCCCCTGTATTTATGAGGAGCATTCTAGTTGTCTACATTATTCCCAGGAATCACTTAATTCAGGAGAGATACACTGGCTCTTTTCCTCTCTGACCACTTGTGATAACATGACACAAAAACAAGTTGTTACTGGATTTCATTTTCTTCCATGCTGTCTCATCTTTCCCATCTTCAATATTTCTTTTCTGTTGCCATAAGCCTGAAGGTAATCCCTAACAGGTACACACACCTATCAGAAGAAACAAAGATGAAAAGGTCAAGCCTTTTCACTGTCATATATTTATACCCTACAACAAAGTAATATTTTGCATCTAAAGACCTCATTTTTCTAAATAGAAATAGCTTTTAAGATACGTTCTTATGGGCTGGGGATATAGCTCAGTGGCACAGGTGCCTGCCTAGCAAGCACAAGGTTGTGAGTGTGATTTCCAGTACTACAACAAACAAATGAAAAAGAAAGGTACGTTCTTTTTCATTCCCTTCAAATGTCCTTGAGATTTCCAAGACAGTAAATATCTCTGCTTTCCCTCAATAATGTGAAGGAAAAATGACAATCTACATATTAAACATAAAAGTACAGACTAAAACAGGAGGACTCAGTCCTTAATGCCCTCTCTTCTCAACAAAGGGGAGGGACTAAGAAAAGGAAGGAAAGGGGGAATAAAGGAAAAAAAAAGTTAAGAACTAAAATATTAATACAACATCTGTCCTAATCTCATTCTGTTTTCCTGGCAGGTAAATTTTCTTACTAAACAATCACAAAAATTCAAGTTAAATATTAGTTTTCACAGAACTCTTAAATGACTGCAGCACTAACTCCTTAGAAGGCAGTAATGAAATACAATTCTACCTCCAGCATCCTGAGATATGTAATTCCTATAACTTTCAACAAGGTGATCTTGAATCTCTTCCAATATAAAACACTGCAATATGAATGCTATCAGCCCGCTGTAATGAAATTGTAGCAGAAAATACACCCCCTCCCCAGGTAGTACACTTCAGTTGCCCAGGTGACAGTTCCTGTTGCAGGTCTGGGTGCTTCTGTGTCTCAGAAATAGCTGGGCCCTGTGACGTATAGCTGGTGACTATTATACACATTGTATAAACCAATCCCTAATTGACAAGCCTTTCTGCCTTTACACTTCCTGCTTGCTTATCCCATATAAGCCCTGGACCATCAGAGATCAAGGCCTGATATTTTGGAAATAATCCCAGTCAGTGCCTATCGACATAAAATAAATATGCCTCCAAATCCTGGGTGTTGTTTCAGTGTTTCTGCTTGTCGCTGCAGAATGACTATTTATAATCCCAACCTTGATTACCGGAGAAACGCAAAATATCTGAAAAGTAGCATCTCCAGGAGAAATAAAGCTATAAATGATTACCAGTCAATAACATATAGAAACTAATACCTTTACTCTCCTAAGCAATTAAAAGTATATAAGAAAAAAAACTCAGATTGTGTCTTTATTATTATAATCTCAGAGCCAAAGACTCTGATCTCAGGCCCCAACAGCAGATATAATTATCAAATCAGAATCTGCCAGTTCTTTCTACAAAAGAAACAGAAAAGATATTACTTTGGGAGGTTAAAGAAATCAGGCAGTGGGACCTGTTTCTCCTGGGCAAATCTAAGTTGTTTGTTTTTTAACATGCATGCACGGATACATAGATATACATACATGCCAAAGTAGATGAAGTATGTTACACTGGCTCATGTGTCATTAAAATCATGTTAGGAGAGAGCAGTCCATGCTTGGCATTTCTTTGTCTCTAGTCCATAAGCCCCTATATGTGGTCCACACGCCGGACATCTCAAGAGTACAGACTCCAAGTGGGAGCAGAATACAGGACCAATGAATGAAAGGAGGGGAATTAGGAGGAAAGAAACAATAATGTAAAAACCAACTCTAAAGGTAAATATTTTCCTGTTGCCAAAAACACACCCAGGGATCCTTTCTCTGCCTTCTCATCTTGGTTGGATATGAGTTTCATCAACAGCTTTGTCCCCCGTGGCCAAAAAGCAGGAAAAAGAGGGACAGCATTTACTCCCTCAGCTTTCTCTGTGCAGGGCATCACAGATGTCTATCATCCCTTCAAAAGGCCACAGCTCCACCTGGGGGCACCTCCACATGGTTACCCTGAGTTCCCACAACTGCTCCCTCTCCCTTTGCCAGGCTTTCGCCATCCCTTAACTATCTATATCTGGTCCATACCTTTATAAACAGTCCCATGATAAAACTTTCCTCAGTCATTCAGTAGGAGTGTGCCATACGTTTCCTGCTGAAATTCTGAGTGGTATTAACACCAAAAGGAAAGCAGGGAAAGATTATTAAGATGAAAGACACAAAAATGGAGAGCTCCCTTTCTTCCTCTTATGTCCTTTTGTGCATAAACTTATTTACAAAGCATTCTCTAATTCACAAAGTGCATTCTATTAATAACTCACTATCATGACACTCTTCTGGACACCAAATGTAATGAAGAAAGTTATCAACCAGCTAAAATATAACACCCAAACCAGAATCCAGGATAGCTAGCTCTTGCCCAATATACATATAGTACTACTGTCCATCTGTGCCTGTCTGCCTGTCTGCCTCTCTCTCCCTCTCTCTCTCTCCCTCCCCCCCAATCTCAACATAAAGGATACAGTAGTTTGTGCCTCCAGAGTATCCCCTCTCTTGTAAATGGAAAGAAATTTGTATTTAACCCTTTATACTTTGCCAAGTATACTCTAATACACTGTCAATTTACCCTCTCAGAAATCTGGGTAATAGGTATCTTTATCCTCATGCCACAGAGAAGAAAAGGTGTTGGAGAGATAAAGCTGCCTCAAATCCAGGAAAATTAATTTCTACTGTCCACAGTCTAAAAATGTCTCAGTGAGGCAGGGTGGTACAGGCCTATAATCCTAGCACTTCGGAAACTGGAGCAGGATCAAGTTAGAGGCCGGCCTGAACTACACAGCAAGACCCTGTCTCATAAGAATGTCAGCCTGGCTGTGACTACATCCAACTTTTATCTATTTAACCCAATTTCAATCTCTCAATAGCACTGTAAGAAGACTCAGTTTGAATCCTGATGCTCTCTTCCAATGGATCAGCCATCCTTACCAACTAAAGTTCATTCATGGGCTTCATGCTCATACTTCAATTTTATTGTATAACTGCAGAAAACTGAAAATAAAAGCAAGGCTTCAGATAAGAGAATAATCTGTGTGTTGCACTTACTACAGGTAGAATAAAAGCTGTAAATTAAAGTATTATTCCACACTAAACTTGAACATAAGACAAAATGAAACTATATGGACTAAAACATCAAAAGCACAAACAACTCAGCTTCTTCGTTCAGTACCTTCCTATCATGGACACAAATGAATTATTTGTACCAACTGTGTACGCCGAATCTCATGTCTTTCCCCTGTGTTTTTAGAGTTGTACAGTATTTTCAGTTTGAAGTGGTTATTTGATTGATCTACTCCTGATTACTATGAAAAAATGTGATTCAATCAAAACACAAAGTTGTTCTCAAATTATGTAAAATGATGCTTCCTAAGGCCAAGTGGAAAACATAAGGCTCCACAAGAACAGACTGCTTGGTGAATTCGGTGATAATTAATGTCTTTGCATAGCACAGAGTAACAAAAAGCACAAACAATTCTGAACCACCTAAAAGAACACGAGTCTTTTCCAAGACCACTGGCACAACAAAATCTCACAGAAAATGTTTGCGGGAGGGGGCAGATTCTAATTTTGCTAGTTTGAAAATATCGCAAATCAAGTCACTGAACAAGCAAATCAACACACAAAACGGTGTGAGTCCTACAGAAACTCTGTTCTCTCCTTGAACAATCTCCATAGTATGGCTTTAAGATGTCCCCGGAAAAGTTATGTGTAGCTTCAGGCAAATACTCTGCTTTTTCTTATCTTAGCTTCATAAAATGCCCATTATTCAATTAAGAATAATGCTCTTAAAAGGTGACTTCATCCAGCGTGTAATTGGCTGTGAAGGATATTCTTTTCTTTCCTACTCCTGGATCAGGATAAAGCACAGAGAGCAATCCCAAGTTCATTTCACATCTCTTTCCATCACAACAAGCATTAAATATAAATTTAATATCCTATAATGAAGTTCATCATTTGGTATGCTGTTAGAATACATCATGTTAGACACACGATCTGATGCTCATATTTTCAGCTTTGCCAAGATCTTTTTCAGCACTACAGGAGTCTCACATATAGGTTCTACCACAAATTCACACAAAGCATCTAAACATTTATACTCATTACTCTGTTCAGTTGCATGATATAATCTGTAAATAGTTTTGTCCAAAACAACTGTTTTAAACACAATCATAGGATTTTTTCCTTTTGTTCCAATATTGGGGGTTGTGGCCAGGGCCTTCACACAGAGTTACATAGCTAGCCCTTTTTTAACTTTTTATTTTGAGACAGGGTCTTGCTAAATTGTGCTGGCTGGGCCCAAGCTGAGCTGTAACTTGCAATCCTCCTGCCTCAGCTTCCCAAAGTGCTGGTATTACAAGCCTATGCCACCATGCCCAGCTACGATGTCTTCTTAATGGTAACGAATTCGCATTTGTCGTTGAAAGCAATCACGGACTCACTAATTCCTTCTCTGGCACTTACGTTGCCTTCTTGGGCTACTCATCACAAGAGCTGCCAAGGATAACCCACATATGCACAAATACTGGTCAATGCCCCCAAAATTTCAGCTACTGCTGTGTCTGCTCTGAAGAACTGTAGTGCCCTATTTCCAGATTAAGACCCTGGAAAACAACCCCTGCTACTACCAGGAACTCCAAGGTTCTACCTAGTTCATCCTCTCTCTCCTACAAGAAAAGCAGAGAATACTCCTAAACAAGGTCTCTCACAGAGACCCACACTCCTCCCCTTTTTTTAGGCTCCCAGGAAAACAGTTACAAAAAGTGTGGCGTTTTAGATTGTATAGTGAATGTATTCATCTCACCCTGCCAGGGCCTTTCATGACTGTACAGTATTTGCAGATACTGTTCAACCATTGGAAATTAGTATCTGAAGCCTTTAATGCATGCAAAGGCTCTGGCAAAATGCCCCTGCTGCATCTTCTTGGTTGGCCAGCACCCAGATAATGTATAAAGAGAATAAACTGAAGTCTCATGGAGCTGAACTGATTCAGGCAACTGTATTGCAGGTG